GTGGTGGTGGTGGTGGCGGTGGTACTTTGGCGGTCCTGAATACCTACTAGTAATTAGCAGTGGCGTTGGCAAATGTGTTCCCAAAATGTTAGCGAGCAAAGCTCATCGTCGATAAGGCGAGATCTTTCATTTCACTGGTCCCGGTCACAGCAACATATCGGATAGCCATGAGAACGTTCCTGGCGGCAGCAGTGTCAGGCATGATTTAGGTTAGCCACGTCCCGAGGCTCTTGCAATGAGCTCCAGCTACAGCTACCCTCTACGTGATGTTCTCGATCCCGAAAGTCCTGCCTGTTTGTCATGTCAAAAACGGGGCCAACTCAGTCAGACGGCCTCAGGAAAAGTTGAGACCCTTTCACGTAAAAACCGAGAAAGGAATCCAAGATTTGGAGCACCTTCTCACCACCTTGATTTCAAGAGCACATGCTTCCTAAGAGGGACCCTGGAATCACCAGGAGCCTGAAAGGTAGTTTTCCAACGTTCAGAGTTGCTTAACCCTAAGCCCCAAAAGGGAGGATTGTGGCTGAATCTCCTGGCACCGTTCGTCGCAACCGGGACTCCAGTCAGATCGTGCATGCTGCGCAACGCACGTTTTGAAATGGGAGTTTCCAAAAAAAGGAGGTCCCCCCCATATCGCCCAAAATACCATAATTCTCACCATGTAGGGAACCCCAAAAAAAACCAACTCCTGGCCCATGAACACAGTTTCCATTTCATTTTCCAGAAGTATCGCCGTGAGCCCACAAAGATGGGAGGACCTAAATTTGGGCTGAGGAGTGAATCTTCCGTGCAGAGCTTCGATGGAGGCCCGCCGCCTGTTGGCGGAGGCCAGAGGGCTCGGAGACACAGTACCAATGGAGACTGGGATTATGGGGGGCGATTATGAGTTATGAGTTATGAGGGGAGGTTGTCAAAGTTGTGGTCCCCATTGGGGTCCCTGGTATGAAACTGTTTTCAATCTTCGGTATATTTTTTTGAACCTAGCACATGGAGATCTGTTAAACTATCTTTGGGGGGTTTGCTCTAGTAAGGATCATGGTTCTTTGGGGTGTGTAGGGACACCCCTCACATGCGAATTTCTCAAAATAGTCCCTAAACAACGTCCCGGCAGTTTGTCAACAGCGCCTGTAAAGCTGTCCTAATCTGAAGCTCACTCTGCTTTTCGTAGCCGGAACACGTTTTGAGATAGCTCCCTCCACAGCTGTCTGCATCCTTCTCACTGTGAACCTCACCTTCTCAGATTCATCCCTACAAATCCCCAAGCAGCACCTCTGGACTCTTGCGAAGGTTTAGCCCTTTGAAGCTTGCGTCTTCACCAAAGTCGGGCTGTTTGCGGCGACTTCAGAATCATCACCCCCAAACATCCCAGACAGCTTTCTAGCTTCGCGTGCAGTCATGCATGTTGGCAGAGGTCGTGAGGAGAGCCCGGATGTCATCCGGGGTCCGGGGATGTACCGGTCCTCCACTGCTGGTGTGGCTGATGACATTGAAGAGGAGTGGTTGCGCCTGGAAGCGCAGGTATTTCATAGGCAAAGGAAGGCCATGAAAGGCAGAGGAGCACATAATCTTGGGACGCCCCAGCACAGGTCATTTTGTGTCCTGCAAGTTGCAGCAAACAGAGGAAGATGAAACTGCTGGCTGACTTTCAAGTGTTGGGCGGTTCGATTGTCACTTCCAAAGATTCTGTCCCGTGCATATGTGTGTGGAGGCATGATGGCAGTACCACGGCAGAAGCACTAGATAGCAGCGGGATGCAAAAACTGGCAACATCCAGGAAGATTCACCCTGCCACTGCTTCTTGCTGCTGCCGCCGCTAGTACTCCTCCAATTTCCTCCCACCGCCATTGCCACTGCCACAATTGCATGTAGCCGCCACCTGGAAGCAGTGTTTGCCTGTTGCTTGCTGCCAGGAGTCCATGTGATCGTTTTTTGACTTCGCGCTCCAGATTGTTTGACAGCTGCTGCGTCACTTTGCTTGGTTTCAGGCCTTTGGGTGATGTTCGTCGCTTTTTAGTCTTGCGGCGATGGAGCGAGTGTACCATACATGCTAGTTCGCAAAATTAATTGCACCGCGACTGGCCGTCAGCTGTTAGGTATATTCAAAATGACTCACAGCCGTATAAGGCTTAGGGAAGAACTCAGCACAGAAGATCCCTGTCATGCCCATTCTGATGCTCTCACAGGCCGAATCGACGTTAGTTTCGTTCAGGGCGGGCCTGTTTTCTAAGTACTTTCAGGCTTGCCAGTCCGCAGCCCCACTTGCCAGCTATGCTGCTGAGCAGCCATGCTGGCTTTGTAGACGTCTCCAATTCGCAAGTTTCCATCCCTGGAAGCTGCATGTGCATGTCGTGAAGAAAAGTTAGCTGTCCGTCTGGTAGGGAAGAGCATGGCAGACAGAACCACGGCAAAGGCTATCGACCGGCCTGAAAGCACCTAATCTCAGGTGTAAGAGCATGGAACGCAAGCATAACGTGACTTGCAAGAAGGCCTTATTCAGGACTCAGGACTCATTTCTACCGCTTCCTATCCGCTGACACAGCTTGGCTCGGGATGGCTTGAGTCAAAACATGGAAGCGGCAAATGAAGCCCTCCAGCCTAGCAAGTCCACAAATGGGGGTTTCAGGGGTACCTTTTTGGAGATCCCTATAATAAGGACTTATTAGGGTCTATATTGGGGTCCCCTTATTCTGGGAAACTACCAAATATTTCTTAGACCCCAACATGGCCGAACGCATCAGATTTGTGTTCAGCAAAATCTCACGGATCCTGGCAAGAGGAAGGAAGCAACTACAGGACTAACGACAACAGTGAACACAGCTGAATGAATTGTCCTTCTGCTCTCTGAGCTTCAGCTGAGTCTAGGAATCCCTTTGTGGCAAGACCAAAGATTCTCGCCCGGTTAAGATCTTAAGCCATGAGCCAAACGCAAGATGTTGGATTCCTGATAGTCGCTGAGCCCCTCAGAAAATTTGAAGAAGACACCTTTTCTTGAGCATATTTCATAAGAGAGGAAAGGGGTATCCAAGAGAGACTTAGCGCAGCAAATGGTCGAATACATAGACATGCTGCGGCCCGAGATGCACGCGCCGTCATGGCTGCTGGGTCAGTGACGAGGTCGGGGCCGTGTGCTGTTTCAGGGGGCAGAGAGCGCAACACACTGTAAGCCGAATTTGTGAAAGGTGGTCGAGCATACCGAATTGTTGGACGAACATGCAAAGAAGTCCTCACGAGATTACACGCTTATTTGATGTGGCAGGCTCTTCCTTGCGGATGTCGAGGCAACTGACCTATGCCCTAGGGAGCACGAGCTCGGCACTTGTGGCTCAGTGGTGTTGCAGACTTTGGTGGATGGCCTTCCATATGGGAGCTCTTCGGGGAGCCAAAGAAGCTTCCCGCGGCCCATCTGGCCGCTACTAGCCCTGCAAGGCCCCAGTTTCCAGCTTGGTACCTCAGAGCTTACCATCATGCTTGTGGATGCTGACCCGCTACAACCCAGGGTTGGGGCTCCTTTCTGTTTTGGCTTCGTGCGGCTGAAGGAGGAGCTTGCACCGCTTGCCTACCAGCAGAGTCTCTCGTTCCAGCGGTCGCTGGAAGGTGCTCCTGGCCGGTACGGAGCACTGAACTTCCGGATTTGCACCGTTCGCCCCACACAGGTGGGCCCAGGCCCATGGCAGGAGGAAGAGGACAAGCTTGCCATGACACACCCTTTGGACTGGTGCGGAGTGCTTCGCTTCACGCCAGAATTAAAAGAACTTCCTCGGGATCATCGAGGTGTATGGTCCATGGAGGCTGCCGCCGGGCCACCTGATGGTCGCGACTTGCTCTCTCCTTCCAGTGGCTTTGTCAGCTGGCAAGTGCAGGAAGACGAAGCAGGAAGCTATCGCGAGTGGAGGCACTGGAGCCCTCAACAGCTTTTCGTCGTCGAGAGAGATCTCCTTTTCAGTGTTCATGCATCCTGTCCTCAGACAGGGTGGGAAGGAAGCTGTGTTCAACGCCTCTCGAAGATGCGTGGGCCGCGTGGACCTTGCAACATGTTCACCGAGGCACACCCGTACCCATTGTTGCTGAAGATGCATGGCACGGACGCATCAGTAGCAATGCATCTCAGGTTCTTTCCAGCAGAATTCCTCAGGCCAAGCTCGCGAGGCAGTGGCATCAGCCTGCGCATCACCCTTGCAGCCGCACCTCCCAATTTGCAGCTGCCGGTCATTTTCAGTGTTCCTTCTGGCTGCTTCTCCATGTTAGGGGATAATGCCAAAGACACGACCTTCCACATCAGCCGCCTTGATGATTGTGTGGAGGTTTGCCTTCCAGACCCTTCACGCTTGGTAGGCCGTTCGGTGTGGAAGGTTACAGAAGATGGCAACAAATCGGGAGGTCCCCCTGCAGGTTTGGACATGCCCAGGGAGAGCCTGGTGGATATCCTTGGACTGCGGCTAAGACCTGGCGACGATAAGATTGTGACCCTGCCTTTGGGAGACCATGCCATCGTCTTGCGATTCTGTCTAACAATGCTGCATCCAGAAGTTGCACGTCCGGTCCTGGGAGTGAGCGTGCCAACAAAGGATCCCCTGGACGTGTCCAGTGGGCCAATTGGGGGTCATGGAGAGGTTGTTGGAATCTTCGTGCATGCTTTGGCTGTGCACTCGCCGCAGGTAACTTGTTGTTTACTGAGCGGGGGCCCTGAAGCCGCCTCGTTGTTCTATCCACTTCCACATTTTGGAGGCAAGATATTCGTGCCGGCGCAGCCGGACAGCCGTGGAAAGGTCAACATCCTGGCTTTTCTGCCAGAGTTCGGCTGTCACGCTGCGGCACAAACAGCTGTGGGCGACAGCTGCTTGCAGCTGCATTGGCGTTTCTCCGATGGCTGGGGGCTCAGCGATGTGCGAGATGATGATCGGTGTGGCTAATGTCTAGGCTCAGCGGATGGCAGCCTTAGATGCGCCGCCCATGTTTGTGCAGACTCCACTTGGTGGGCAGCACTAATTTATTCAGTCTCAGGATCGCCACCACAATCGCAACCCTTTTCACATGTCTTAGGCCGCACTGCTAGGCTGATTTGCCCGCAGCTTCACGTTTGCAACATTTTGCGACTCAAGCCGTAAAAACTCTGTTGGCCACTCCTAGCACTTTCCGGCAGCAGCGCAAGATGCAGCACAGGTGGGTCGGCCAAGGTGATTCAGACTTGAGTAGTATTTGATTTGGGGATACTATGGTACCCAATATAGAGTAAGATGCTATCCGCCTTTTGGGGTATAGTATTTTAAATAAGGAATATTATCTTACTGGGTTCAACCACCAAAAAAACGCTAGGAAGAACTTCTTGACATTACGGTAATCAGGTCATGTTGGTTCTGGTTGCAGGACATACGGGGACACACGCGCTTTCCCTTTCGCCGTAGGGTTGTAATCATGAGCTGATTGCTTAAGATGGCTCCCTGCAAACCGTCTGAAAGAAGTGTTGCATAGTTTCACAAAAATCTGTAGAGCGTCTTCCATGGCTTTATGGTACAATTGGAAATAACCAGCTGCCAGGAAGCCTGCGCAAGTGTACTGGTATACCCTAGACGGACACAGAACTCAGAGGAAGGATTCCCTAAACAGCCTCCTACAAACCCCCAGACAAAAAGCATGGTTGCCTTCGGCAGATGTCATGTAGCCCTGAAGGTTGAAATAGCTAATTATCAAGTATACCAATGCTCAAAGGCTGGCTTCTAAGTGAATTCGGTTTCAAAGGAGGCCTCTCACACAACAAAGGTGCACCCTCCCAGTGATATACTGCTCAGATCCAGCCTATACAGGACATGTATAATATGTATATATATATATATATATTTCTGGCGCAGTTGAGCCACTGGACCCCGTTGGATTCCTCTGCGTTTGCCAAGAAATGCTTTCTTTCTGAGGATACCACAATCGCCATACAGCGTCAGCAACTTCAGTTCTTCCCAAGCATGGGGCTGCGTTTGACACATCTGAACCTAGACCTTTATTGTGCATTTATGGGTTAAGATGGGACCCTTTGGGAGCCTCAAAGCGAGGACTTTGCCAGCCCTATACCCCGCAATCCCTTCTCCTATGGTCTCCTCTAACCCAAATAGAATCTCGTTTTGCCGAGCCCTCCCAAGGAGCTCCATGGTGCGTCGACGCTGCTCGGCCAGCTTCTCTTTGGCCTTGCTTTTGGCAGTGCCTTTGCAGCCCAGAAGTAGCTTATTCCGTTTTCTTTGCTCAATTGTGCGGTCCGGTCCCAAAAATCCTCCCCTGGTAGCATGTTGAGACTCCTCTTTTGGCTGAAAGGACGAAATGGGGCTCCGGCCACAGTCCATTCTTAAAAAACGGTTGTAGTCCTGCTATCGGGGCATCATCGCCCTTGCTGCCCCAAAGCTCTGAAGTCTCTTGGAAGCAAAGGCATTTTGCCAGAGCGCCTGCTTCATCAACTGGGCAGTGAAAATGCCAGGACTGAATCAAGGGGGTTTGCAGATCAGCAGGAGTTGTGCAAGGCTGAGCTTCGAATTCGCTTTGCTGGAGTAGTAGTCATGATTTTACAGCACCCTTGTTACGGATCTCCTTTACTGAGGGTACTCTTTTTTGGAGTTTATGGTCAGAGATAAGCGGACTACCACGAGCCTCCAAAACAAGCAATCACCTTCGCAGCTACTGGCTTTACGAAGTGTGATGCTTTTGGTGATCATTGTGCTTGGTAACCTGGTAACCCGATTCTCCTGCAGTGGTTCTAGCCAGAGAAAACGGCTATTACGAATAATAGTAGTCACAATAGTGCGGCTTTCACCCCTTTCAACAGAAGCTCCTCCAAACTTCAAGAGAACCCTCAGCCATTTGCAGAGGCAGGATTCAAGCTGCGGTCGCCAGAGGAGCCAATGGAAGCTGGGCCCTAAGTCGTTTGTGTCCGTGTTGACAGGATTTCGGGTTTCCTGCGTGAGCCTCTAGCATGTTAAGAGCTTTTGGGTTATATGTCAACGCGTCGAAGCTAAGGAGGCCATTGCCCCAACCATCCAAAACAACAGGATCCGCAAGACAGCAAGGCAGTCACTTGTGGTTACTAAGATGCTCACTGGATGTTTTCCTTACTGTTGGACTGGCTTGCGGGACTTCGACAATCACGTCCTTGTTGTTGCTCCCCCCTTGATAGTGAGAGCTCCAGCATTTTCAGAGCAATTGCCTTCAAGCAGACACTTAGAGTTGAGCTTGAACCCCATGCGCCCCATACTTCTCCGCGCGTGGCTCACGTCTCTAAGACTCCTCGGCTTTCTTTTGTTTTCCCTTGTCCTCCTCTTGTTTTTTTCTTCATTTTCTTCATCTTGTTATCATAATTCTTTCTTTTGCTACTGCTTACTGGGGTTGATAGTGAATGATTAAGGGAAGAGATTGTATGCAGATTACACGGGGATTCTACGTCCTGATTCCCTACTACCCATCAGTAAGGCTGTTTGTGTGTTCTTGCACTTAGTGGTCCTTAGTAGTAGGGAATAAGGGAAAATAATCCCTGTATACTCGCCATATAATGCATTCCCTTATTCCTTACTTACCCTAGGCCCTGAGCCCTAAATAGTAGTTTCCGTTTCTTTTCCATTGTCCTCAACTAACCCTATATTATACCCCTATAATCCCGTCCCCTACTAACCCTAAATCCTAAACCCTAAGTGTCCACCGCTCGGTCCAACGGGGCCTTCGCCTGGATGCGAGGTGAAAAGAGCGCTTAAAAAACTAAGTGTGCGTCCAGGTGCCATTCTGTCCTGCGACAACAAGGAAGACTTTGTGGCCAACCTGCGCGGTGGGCTGACGGTAGTCCCTGGGAATGCGTCAAGGGCCTAGGGTTTAGGGTTTAGGGATTAGAGTGGCTTTTCACATGAAGACGTGTAATACTTACTGAGGAATACTAAGGAGATGTAATCCCCATGTAGCCCCTGTATAATATATTCCGTTTTTCCTGCCCACCAACAGTAAGGTTGCCAGGCCTCCAAACCCCAAACCCCTAAGCCCCTTTAAGCAGATAGAATATGGGGTATGTGGGGATCTTATTATAATACACCCAAAGCCATGTTCCTTCTACTTACGGGGGACTATAAGCCCTAAACCGCAGAAGTGTGTGAAACCCAGCTGCGGACTCGAAGGCCATGTTCTCTTCATCGATGTGTGGTCCCTGCTTCCTCATGGAGCCTAAGGCAGGGGCCTGGTCAGCTTAGGGTTCAATGTTTGTCGGAGTTATTGCTAGCAGTTGTGTCTCTACTTTGAGAAACCGTTGTGCTGCAAACACCCCATGTGGAGCTTTCCGAAGGCCCACACCAGTTGAGTGCTGCCTGGACTGCGCACCTGCGGGTCTCATGGCTCTAGTGGGGGTCGTCGCGCGGTTTCGAGCATATTATACGGCTGGAGCATTTGTGCCTCAAAGTTTTCGCAGCTTCTCGCTCCGTGCAGCCATGCCACGTGCAGCGATGCCCCGTGCCTCATCGAGATGCTTGTCGCTGCTCGGCCTGCTTGCGTTGGCCTGCTTGACCAGCCAGCTTGCCAAACCGTCGGCTAGCCCTCCTGCCGCATTTGCGATGATCAGTCCAATCAAAGAGGGCAGCAACGTGCCCTCGGTGACATTCAAGACCCGCACGCGCACCGAGGAGAAGGTGGAGAATCCCTTTGATTGGAAGGACCTGACTTCTGAGGATCTCTTCAAAGGAAAGC